CTAGTATTCTATTCACCTCTCCCGTTTGATCTCCATCGAACCAAACTTTATCTTTGTGTACACAAACAAAATGATGAAATCTTAACATTATTAAAGGACTTAGAACTTTCAAGCATAAAAATCCTTGCTGTATTATTTGTAACAGGTGCACACCTGACAGCTGATCAAATGCTTCAAAACACTGTGTTTATTTACAACCCGAGAGCAACCATTATGAAATGGCTCTTTATAAGTCCCTATGTAGATTTAACCATTAACACCTGCCTCCTTGAATTTTCTTCCCCATCAGTCCTTGTTCTACTTTTTGGAACACTGGATTTTAAAATTAAGCTACTAAAATAAATAGATCAATTCACAGGAAAAAATAAAAACAAACTATTTTAAGCTTTTCTATATAATCTATTTTAACATTCAGTACTTGCTACCACTTGCTTCTATTAAAATCTAGCACAAAGTAATATATTTAATATATTTTATTTAAAGAATAATATATATATATTGAGGTACAGTCTCACTCTGTTGTCCAGGATAGAAGTGCTACGGCCTCAGCCTAGCTCAGAGCAACCTCAAATTTCTGGGCTCAAGTAATCCTCCTGCCTCAGCTTCCCAAGTAGCTGGAACTATAGGCGCCCACCCCAATACCCTGCTAATTTTGCTAATTTTTCTATTTTTAGTAGAGATGGGGTCTCACTCTTGCTCTGGCTGATCTCAAATTCCTGACCTCAAGTGATTTACCCGCCTGAGCTTCCCAGAATACTAGGATTACAGGTGTAAACCACTACACCCAGCCCATTTGCCTATTCTTACAAGAAACAAAATTTAGATCAATATTTCATCAAACAAAATACTTTGCTAGTTCCTCAAAAAGCAAAACATAGAATTAAAATTGCGACCCAGCAATTCTACTCCTACGTATATTCCCTTTGGGGGAAGGAGAGGTGATTCTTGGCTTAAAGTTTCCCTTTTTCCTTTCAAGTACATTAGAGAATGATTATTGTTATTCTGTTTAAAGAAACAAAACACCAGGGGACGCCTGTGGCTCAAAGGAGTAGGGTGCTGGCCCCATATGCTGGAGGTGATGGGTTCAAACCCAGCCCCAGCAAAAAACTGCAAAAAAAAAAGAAAGAAAGAAAGAAAGAAAACACCACCATTTAGCATTGAAATGAAACATTAAAAGAAAATCTCACATTATATTTATGATTTCAATTTAAAAAGTATAAATAGGTCACTTCATCCTAGTCAAGGGAACTGTACAAGAAGAAGACGTCTCGATTCTAATTATTCATGCACCCCACTTAAATGCTCCCTGATTTATGAAACAGACCTTGAATGGTCTGAGCAACATGATCTCCCATAACACCATAATACCTAAGAGCTTTAACACCCCTTTGGCAGAAGTAGGCAGATCATCTAAACAGAAACTAAACAAAGATACAAAGAACCTAGAACAAAGGAGCTTATAGGCATATACAGAACACACCATGCCAAAGCTAAGGAATATATTCTCGTCAGCCCATGGAACATACTCCAAAATAAATCATATCCCAGGATACAAATCTAACCTTAACAAAATGAAAAAAATCAAAATTATGCCTTGTATCTTCTCAAACCATAAGGCAATAAAGGTAGAACTCAACTCCAACAAAAATTTTCATCCCCACACAAAGGCATGGAAATAAAACAACTTTATGTTGAATGACAGTTGGGTGGAGGAAGAGATAAAGGAGGAATTATTAAATTCCTCAAATATAACAACAATGAAGCAACAAGCCACCACAACCTGTGGGCTACTGATAAAGGAGTTCTAAGAGGGAAATTTATCACATTACATGCCTACATCTGAAAAACAGAAAGAGAACACATCAACAACCTAATGAATCATCTTAAGGAAATGGAAAAGGAAGAGCAATCTAATTCCAAACCTAGCAGAAAAAAAGATATAACCAAATTTAAATCAGAAATAAGTGAAATGGGCAGTGCCAGTAGCTCAGTCGGCAGGGCATGGGCCACATACAGGGCAGCTGGTTTGAATCTGGCCCGGGCCTGCTAAGCAATAATGACAACTGAACCAAAAAAAAAAAAAAAAAAAAAAGCTGGGCCTTGTGGTGGGTGCCTGTAGTCCCAGCTACTTGGGAGGCTGAGGCAAGAGAATTGCTTAAGCCCAAGAGCTTTAGGTTGCTGTGAGCTGTGATGCTACCCAGGGCAACATAGTAAGACTCTGTCTCCAAAAAAGAAAGAAAGAAATGAAATTGAAAACAAAAAGAATCATTCAGAAAATAAATGAAACAAAAAGTTGGTTCTTCATAAAAGTAAATAAAATCAACAAACCTTTGGCTAGATTAACTAGAAACAGAAAAGTAAAATCTCGAATAACCTCAATCCAAAATGAAAAATGGGAAATAACAACAGATATCACAGAAATACAAGAAATTATCTCTGACTACTATAAGAAACTCTATGCCCAGAAATTTGACAATGTGAAGGAAATGGACCAGTACCTAGAATCATACTCTCTCCCTAAATTTATACCAAGAAGAAATAGATCTCTTGAACAGACCAATATCAAGCACTGAAATCGATGAAACAACAACAAAAAAAGCCCTGGACCAGATGCACCAGAATCCTATCAAACCAAAGAAGAGCTTGTACCTATACTGCAGAAACTATTCCAAAACATTGGAAGAAGGAAGGAACCTTCCCCAAAACATTCTATGAAGCAAACATCACCCTGATACCAAAAGGGAAAAGATCCATCTGAAAAGGAGAACTGCAGACCAATTTCACAAATGATTATCAATGCAAAAATACTTAATAAAATCTTAGACAACAGATTACAGCTACACATTAAAAAAATTATGTATCATGAGGAAGTAGGTTCCATCCCAAAGACACAAGGCTGGTTTAACATGCACAAATCCATAAATGTAATTCACCATTCAATAGAAGCAAAAAGAAAACCATATGATCCCTCTCAATAGACAAAGAAAAAGCATTTGATAAAATTCAGCATCTTTTTCTAACAACACTGAAGAATACAGGCACAGCTGAGACATTTCTTAAACCAACTGAAGCTATCTATGACAAAGCCACAGCAAATTTCATACTGAATGGAGTAACGCTGAAAGCTTTTCCACTTAGAATTAGAACCAGACAAGAATGCCCTCTATCACCACTACTATTCAACATAGTTCTGGAAGTTCTAGTCAATGCACTCAGGCAAGAGAAGAATTTAAAGGGCATCCAAATGAGGGCAGAGGACATCAAACTCTCACTCTTTGCTGATGATACGATCTCATGGTTACAGTTATATATAATCATATAGTTAATTATATGGTCTAATAGTTAGAGAACCCCAGAGATTTAACCACAAAATTCCTGGAAGTGATCAAGAAAAACAGTAACATCTCAGGGTATAAAATTAGGTCCACAAATCAGTAGCCTTTGTATATTCCAACAACAGCCAAGTTGAGAAGCTAATCAAAGACACAATTCCCCTCACACTAGCTTCAAAGAAAATGAAATACCTACTGAAAGAGGTGAAAGTCCTCTACAAAGAGAATGGTGAGACCCTAAGAAAAGAAATAGCAGAAGACATTAACAAATGGAAGAGCATACATGCTCCTGGCTGGGAAAAATCAACATTGTTAAAATGTCTATACTTCCCAAGGCAATCTACAAATTCAATGCAATCCCCATTAAAATACCAAAATCATACTTTGAAGAAATGGAAAAAATAGTTCTTTGTTCCATATGGAATCAGAAAAAAAAAAACCTGTATAGCCAAGGCAATATCTATTAATAAAAGCAAAGCTGGAGACATCATTCTACCAGGCTTTAGGTTATATCACAAGTCCACAGTGATCAAAACAGCATGTTACTGGCACAAAAATAGAGACATAGACATTTGGAACTGAATAGAAAACCAAGAGATGGGTCTTCTGATCTTTGATAAACCAATCAAAAGCATATACTGGGGAAAAGAATCCCTATTCAATAAATGGTGCTGGGAGAACTGCATAACGACATATAAAAGATCAAAGCTGGACCCACAGATTAAGTCACTTACAAAAACTGATTAAAAAAAAATTGATTTTATCCAAAAAAGATGGATTAAAGATTTAAATTTAAGGCATGAAATGATAAAAATCCTAGAAGAAACTGTAGGAAAAACTTTTTTTTTTTTTTTTTTTGAGACAGTCTTACTTTGTTGCCCTCAGTAGAGTGCTGTGAGGTCCCAGCTCACAGTAACCTCAAACTCTTGGGCTTAAGTGACTCTCTTGCCTCAGTCTCCTAAGTAGCTGGGACTACAGGCGCCCACCACAATGCCCACCTACATTTTGGTTGCAGTTGTCATTGTTGTTTAGGTGGCCCGGGCTGGGTTCAAACCCCCCAGCCTGGGTATATATGGCCAGCCGCCGTACCCACTGTGCTACATGCACCAAGCCAGATAAAAATATCTTAAATGCCTCTCAGTAACAGACAGTTCCCTGATTAGAGGCTTTTTATTTATAATCCTAGACAAACATTAATAGCAAGCAATTTTTCTTTTCTTTTTTTTTTTTT